TGCTGATTCGCTCGAGTTCTTTGTAGATTCTGGTTATTAGCCCTTTATCAGATGTATAGCATGCAAATATTTTCTCCTATTCTGTAGGTTGTCTGTTTGCTCTGTTGATTGTTTCCTTGGCTGTGCAGAAACTTCTTAATTTAATCAGGTCCCATTTATTTTTGTTGTTGCTGTGATTGCCTTTGGGATCTTCATAAATTCTTTGCCTAGGCCCATCTCTGTAAAGTTTTTCCAACCTCTTCTTCTAGAATTCTTATAGTTTCATGCCTTAGGTTTAAGTCTGTTATCCATCATGAATTAATTCTTATGAGAGGTGAGAGGTGTGGATCCTGTTTCAGTCTTGTACATGTGGCTATCCAATTTTCCCAGCACCATTTATTGAATAGGGATTCTTTTCCCCCAGTGTTGTTTTTTTTTTTTTTTGTCTGCTTTGTCAAAGATCAGACGACAATATGATGATGGTATTATATCTGGGTTCTTGATAACAACATAAGTTAAAATTAGGGGCTTGGAAATTAAGGAACAAAGTGGGACATAAAGAAACCAGTAATAGCACTTAAAATGCCTGGCATAAAGACCTACAATGGGTGTTCATGCTGGGGTCATTGGCCTTTTGGGAACTAAACCTTGAACATTGACCTTGTTAATAAATACTGTGTTCTGGGATCTGATATATTCAGATATATTCCAAGTAGAAAGAGCAAGATACACGTGCATGCACCTGTGCTTGCCCTTTTCTTAATTCAACAGACTATTAAAATTTCCTCTTTTATTTTTATAGACATACAGAGATGGATTTAAAATGTAGTTTACATTAAACAATACAGTATATTTATTTATTTTAGAGATGGTCTCCTTCTGTCACTCAGGCTGGAGTGCAGTGGCATGATCATAGCTCACTGCAGCCTTGCACTCCTGGGCTCAAACGATCCACCTACTTCAGCCTCCTGAGTAGCTGGGACTTCAGGCACATACCACCATATTCAGATAATTAAAAAATTTTTTTTGTAGAGACAGAGTCTCACCATGTTGCCCAGGCTGATCTTGAACTCCTAAGCTCAAGTGATCTTCCTGTCTTGGCCTCCCAAAGTGCTGGGAGTGTATAGTATCTTTAAAATGACATTTAAAAATTGATGTTATGGAAAGATTTTCTATCAGTCTGCTCATAATATCTTTTCTTAAAACAGTGTGCTTCGCCAGAGTATAGTGAACTGAAAATAATTACCATTGGCAGTATCTCCCCTAAGCAATAGGTATAGATAAGTACACTTTTCTTAATTGGAGTTTAATTAAGAAATTAACACTTAGTGTGTTAATTTACTGTTAAAAGTACTTTGTAGAGCTTTTCTTTTCAAAACAGTAAACACCTTTAATATGATTATTGGTATGTAATAAGGATATTGAGAGAAGCTTTTCGGGATTGATGGGGTGGTAGAGCCCAGATCATCTAAAAAGAGTTATGTAGGCTTTATTTTGTAGATATTTCTTTGATCTTATCCATATATTCATAAGTAATCTTCTGATTTTGATTTGGTTTTCAATGTGGGCTCCCCTATTACAACGAAATGTTTCTCAAAAATTGTATAAACTTAAAATCTAGTTCCTAGACCTAGAGTGGAAATACCAAAATCCATTATAGAGAAAAGATAGCAATTGTGTGATCCTTCACATTCAGCAGTGTTTTGGAAAACATTTTAACTGGTGGGAAAATAGCAGACACAGTGGGACGGTTATTGCAACAAAATTTTTCATATTAATAGTAATTGGGCAGATCCCACTGTAAAAGCCACAGTGCCCTATTTCTGTAGACTAAAGCATGGGAGGAGACAGATGACGATACTGTCTACCTCACAGGACTGGGAGCAGATCAAATGAAATGAATGATTCCTGTGGAAGTTATTTGGGAATGCTGAAGAGTATGAGAGTCTAAGGGGGTATTAATTGTTTTTGGCATAGGAAAAGAGTGAATCAGAATATCTGAAGATCACCCAAGAAAAAGAACAGCAAGAATCTTTGGCCCTGGAAGAGTTAGAGTTGCAGAAAAAGGCAATCCTTACAGAGAGTGAAAATAAATTTCGGGATCTTCAACAAGAAGTGGAGACTTACAGAACTGTAAGTTTAAATAATATTTAGGTTCTGGAACTGTGAAATTATTTGCTTGTGAAAACTATTGTTATCTCTCCAGTCAATAAAGTTTCAAAGAAGCTTTTGTTTTACTGGGTTAGAGTTAGGTATACATGTGCTTCCTTTTTAGATAGTGAGAGGTATTCATGGGAGTGGATTTGGCTTTGGGCTCTGTGTTTGGTACCTGGGACTCCTGCTTCTGTCTTTAGCCGGCTGTATTTCTGTCAGCCACTCACTCTGCTTCTGTTTTCTCAGGCTCTGCAGCATCTCCACTCCACTGCTTACTCACCCTTGATCTCTAGGAAGTGGCTTCACTTTGTAGGCAGCACTTGCCCTGACACCTTCTGTTTGTCCAGCTTTATCTTATGCCATGTACTGAGCATAATCCATTCTCTGCTTATATGACAGTTTAGTTACGTCAGTGCCCTTCTTTTACGTTTAAGTTTTCCTTATTAAACATAATCCTGTAATGAACATATTTGTATGTATGTCTTAGTGTGTACATCTTTAAGGCTCTCTGGTCCGTCCCTTAGCAGTATTTGAAACATACAACTTGGTTTGAAAACTGACTGATGTTATTTAGACTTTTTTAGCCTTTTTGCTCTGATTTAGACAGTGAAACAGTCATCCTTCTTACCCATAGTTTTAAACTGTGCTTTATTTTTTCATTACCTACACTTAGAAAAGGTAATGACATAGTGGAGTGAAATGGGCACCTAGAGACCTAGGTCTTCTACTTGTTAGCTTTGTAAATTAATTGTACTTTATTTTCTCACTTGTCATATGAAGAGATTGGATTTAGTAATTCCTTAGGACCTTTCCAGCTCTGACACTGTATGGCTCTACCTTTCTTAACTTTTTCCTTCAGAGTCAAGATTATATTTTCATGAGATAATAGTTGTCTTTGGTAAAATTTGTATAGACTCCTTCTTTTTGAAAAAAAAAAACCCTCTAAATAATTTAGGGGTGGATAAATCAGATACGTTCTTTTCCTTTCATAAGTAATAAAATATTATTGTAGGCCTTAAAGTAAAAACAGGGGGGAAAAATCCATCTTCTTACCAAAGTTACTATTATCTATTTTATGATTTAATTTTTTCTTGACTCTCAAGTTAGAATATTGTTGAAAATGTAGGTGGTTGAAAAGGTTACCCAAATAAGTAAAAAGAATCTGGAATTATGAGTTGTGTTAAAAATATAATCTTTTCTTTGTTATATGATTCCTTTAGTAATTGAACACAAATTCTTTGTCGTTCTAGTGTTTGGTATATGTAAAACTATTTATCTAAATTCTAATCTGTGGATAGGTGGTAGACATCATGTCTGTATATCACTGCCAATAAGCATGTACTTTAATAAAAATACATCCATTTTCATTAACAGAGAATTCTTGAATTGGAAAGTTCTTTGGAAAAAAGCTTAGAAGAAAGCAAAAATCAATCAAAAGATCTAGCTCTTCATTTGGAAGCTGAAAAAAATAAGCACAATGAAGAAATTACAATCATGGTTGAAAAACACAAGACAGAATTGGAAAGCCTGCAGCATCAGCAGGATAACCTTTGGACTGAAAAACTCCAAGTCTTAAAGCAACAGCATCAGACTGAAATGGAAAAACTTAGAGAAAAATGTGAGCAAGAAAAAGAAACATTGTTGAAAGACAAAGAGATTCTCTTCCAGGCCCACATAGAAGAGATGAATGAAAAGACTTTAGAAAAGCTTGATGTGAAGCAAACAGAACTGGAATCATTATCTTCTGAACTATCAGAAGTATTAAAAGCCCGTCAAAAGCTACAAGAGGAACTTTCTGTTCTAAAGGATCAAACAGATAATATGAAACAGGAATTAGAGGCCAAGCTGGATGAGCAGAAAAATCATCATCAGCAAGAAGTTGACAGTATCATTAAAGAACATGAGATATCTATCCAGAGAACTGAGAAGGCATTAAAAGATCAGATTAATCAACTTGAGCTTCTCTTGAAGGAAAAGGACAAGCATCTGGAACAGCATCCAGCTCACATAGAAAATTTAGAGGCAGATATTAAAAGGTCTGAAGGGGAACTGCAGAAGGCATCTGCTAAGCTGGATCTGTTTCAGTCATACCAGAGCACCACAGATGAGCAAAGCAAAGCATATGAGAAACAGTTGGCCCAATTACAGCAGAAATTGTTGGATTTGGAAACAGAAAGAATTCTTCTTACCAAGCAGGTAGCTGAAGTTGAAACACAAAAGAAAGATACTTGTGTTGACTTAGATACTCACAAATTCCAGATGTGGGACATAATGTACCAACTTGAAAACCAGAACAGTGAAATGGAACAAAAAATAAAATCTTTAACCCAACTGTATGAGTCATCAAAGCAAATCTTGATGGAAAAGGAAAATGTAATTTTACAAATGAGAGAAGGACAGAGCAAAGAAATTGAGATACTCACACAGAAATTGTCAGCCAAGGAGGACAGTATTCGTCTTTTGCATGAGGAATATGAAAGCAAATTTAAAAATCAAGAAAAAAAGATAGAAAAAATTAAGCAGAAATCAAAGGAGATGCAAGAAACGTTAAAGAAGAAATTGTTGGATCAGGAAGCCAAACTTAAAAAAGAGCTTGAAAATACTGTTCTAGAGCTTAGTCAGAAAGAAAAACAGTTCAATGCCAAAGTGTTGGAAATGGCACAGGCTAACTCAGCTGGAATCAATGATGCAGTATCAAGACTGGAAACAAACCAAAAGGAGCAAATAGAAAGTCTTACCGAGGTTCATCAGCGAGAACTCAATGATGTCATATCAATTTGGGAAAAGAAACTTAATCAGCAAACTAAAGAACTTGAGGAAAAACATGAAATGCAATTACAGGAGAAAGAACAAGAAGTAGCAGAATTGAAGCAGAAGATCCTCATATTTGGGTGTGAAAAAGAAGAGATGAACAAGGAAATAACGTGGCTGAAGGAAGAGGGTGTTAAGCAGGATACAACATTAAATGAATTACAGGAACAATTAAAGCAGAAGTCTGTTCATATCGATACTCTCTCACAAAATGAAACTAAACTGAAAGCACAACTTGAAAAGCTGGAGGTTGACTTGAATCATTCTCTGAAGGAAAACACTTTTCTTCAAGAGCAGTTAGTTGAACTGAAGATGCTGGCAGAAAAAGATAAGCTTAAGATTTCTGAGTTGACTGATAAGTTGAAAACCACAGATGAAGAACTCCAGAGATTGAAATCTTCATATGAAAGAAGTAACAAAAGCCTAGAGGACAAAAGCTTGGAATTCAAAAAACTGTCCGAGGAACTAGCAATTCAGCTAGATATTTGCTGTAAGAAAACTGAAGCCTTACTGGAAGCTAAAACAAATGAGCTAATCAACATTAGTAGCAGTAAAACAAAGGCCATTCTCGCTAGGATTTCCCATTGTCAACACCACACAAGTAAAGTTAAGGAGGCACTATTAATGAAAACTTGCAAAGTTTCTGAATTAGAAGCACAACTTAGACAACTAACAGAGGAGCAAAATACGCTAAATACTTCTTTTCAACAGGCTACCCGTCAGTTAGAAGAAAAAGAAAATCAAATTAAGAGCATGAAGGCTGATATTGATGGTCTTGTAACAGAAAAAGAAGCCCTACAGAAGGAAGGAGGCAATCAGCAACAGGCTGCTTCTGAAAAGGAGTCTTGTATCACACAGTTGAAGAAAGAGTTATCTGAAAACATCAACGCTGTCACATTGATGAAAGAAGAACTTAAAGAAAAAAAATCTGAGATTAGCAATCTTAATAAACAACTAACTGATTTGAACATTCAACTTCAAAATAGTATCAGCTTAACTGAAAAAGAAGCAGCCATTTCATCACTAAGTAAGCAATATGATGAAGAAAAACGTGAATTGCTGGATCAGGTGCAGGCTTTATCTTTGAAAGCTGATACTCTGTGTAAAGAGAAAATTTCTGCTCTTGAACAGGTAGATCACTTGTCCAATAAATTCTCAGAATGGAAGAAGAAAGCACAGTCAAAATTTACACAGTATCAAAACACTATTAAAGAATTACAGATGCTACTTGAGTTAAAAACAAAGGAAGCACATGAAAAGGATGAGCAGATAACTTCACTGAAGGAAGAGCTTGATCAGCAAAATAAAAGATTTGAATGTTTAAAGGATGAAATGGAAGATAAGAAAAGCAAGATGGAGAAAAAGGAGTATAATTTAGAGATTGAGTTAAAGACTCACACAACAAGAATCGTGGAATTAGAGGACCATATTACCCAGAAAACAAATGAAATTGAGTCCTTAAGTGAAGTTCTTAAAAATTACAATCAACAAAAGGATATTGAGCAGAAAGAATTGGTTCAGAAACTTCAGCGTTTTCAAGAGTTAGGAGAAGAAAAGGACAACAGAGTTAAAGAAGCTGAGGAAAAGGTTTTAAGACTTGAAAAGCAAGTGTCTTCCATGAAAGCTGAACTTGAAACTAAGAAGGAGGAATTGGAACATGTGAATTCAAGTGTGAAAAGCAAAGAAGAGGAGTTACAGGCACTGGAAAATAGACTTGAATTAGAAAGTGCAGCAAAATTAGCAGAACTGAAGAAAAAAGCTGAACAAAAAATTGCTGCCATTAAGAAGCAGTTGTTATTGCAAATGGAAGAGAAAGAACAGCAATATAAAAAAGGTACAGAAAGCCATTTGAATGAGCTAAATGCAAAATTGCAGGAAAGAGAGAGGGAAGTTCACATCTTGGAAGAAAAACTTAAATCAGTGGAAAGTTCACCACACTCGGAAGCACCAGTTGTACCCAGATCAGCAAAAAATGTGGAAGCATGTACTGAGCAAGAAGAAGCAGATTCCCAAGGCTATGTGGAGAAGGCATATGAAGAAAAAATCAGTGTTTTACAAAGAAATTTAACTGAAAAAGAACAGCTATTGCAGAGGCTAGAGCAGGAAAAAGAAGAGACAGTTTGTTCTCATTCTGAAATGCAATGCAAATACCAGGAGCTCTTGATAAAGTTGGAACGTGCCGAAGCAAAGCAACATGAGGATCAAGTTATAATAGATCATCTTCAAGAAGAACTTGAGGAAAAAAACAAGAACTATTCCTTGATGGTATCCCAGCATGTAGAAGAAGAGAGATGTAAAAATAACATAGGGGCAAAGCAAAATTTAGAAAATGTTGTCCAGAAAAGCCTCCAGGAGAAGGAACTAACCTGTCAGATCTTGGAGCAAAAGATAAAAGAACTGGATGTCTGCTTAGTAAGAGAGAAGGAAGTACATAGAGTTGAAATGGAAGAGTTGACCTCAAAATATGAAAAATTACAGGCTTTACAACAGCAGATGGATGGAAAACATAATCCCACTGAAGTTTTGGAAGAAAGTACTGAAGAAAAGTCCAAATCACGTGTGGTTCAACCCAAATTGCTTAGTAACACGGAAGCCCAGCACAATGACCTGGAGTTTAAATTAGCAGATGCAGAGCGGGAGAAACAGAAACTGAGCAAGGAGATTGCGAGATTGCAGAAAGATCTCCGAATGCTAAGAAAGGAGCATCAGCAAGAATTGGATATACTAAAGAAAGAATGTGAACAAGAAATGGAAGAGAAAATCAAGTAAGTTTTATTTTAGCATGAATATTTTTAAAGCAGTCCTCCTTAATTAAGCTTCCTTTTTAGTGCCTAATATAGTTATTTTAAATATTTGGATAAGTTTCACCTACTCAAAATATTAAACATAAATCTGATAAGCTAAATATAATGAGAAATAAGAACAATTTGGGCAAGAGGCATTGTTATTCCATGTCCATTTAGGGAAGAAAAATCTTTTCTTGTATGTAGGATTGTGATTATTAAGGTACATATCCAAGTAATTATTTTCTTTTTGTTTTACTATTTTAATATTAGCATTACTATTATTATATAACATAGATGTGTATGGTGAAAATTTAAAGTGAAAAATAAAAATTATCCAGTCCCCAGGACAGCTCCCTAGAGGTAATCATAGATTACATATTCCTGCAGAAGTTTTCCGTCCTAGAATGCACACGTGTGCATGCCTGAGTTCTCTTTCTCTCTCTCTCTCTTTTTTTTTTTTTTTGTGAGACAGAGTCTTGCTCTGTTGCCCGGGGTAGAGTGGCGTGGCATGGCGTCAGGCTAGCTCACAGCAACCTCAAACTCCTGGGCTCAAGCAATCCTTCTGCCTCAGCCTCCCGAATAGCTAGGACTACAGGCTTGTGCCACCATGCCCGGCTAATTTTTTCTATATATTTTTAGTCATCTAGCTAATTTCTTTCTATTTTTAGTAGAGACGGGATCTCGCTCTTGCTCAGGCTGGTCTCGAACTCCTGACCTTGAGCGATCCTCCCGCCTTGGCCTCCCAGAGTGCTAGGAATACAAGTGTGAGCCACCACGCGCGACCCTTCTCTCTCTCTTAAAAGTGTTTTCATACGTGAGAGCATACTGTGTGTACTGTTTTGAAGACCAGGTAACTCTTTGAAACTTGTTCTTTGTGTGGCAGCAGTTAACTCTTTACATTTTTGTTACTCAGACAGGAGCAGGAAGATCTTGAATTGAAGCACAATTCCACATTAAAACAGCTGATGAGGGAGTTTAATACACAGCTGGCACAAAAGGAACAGGAGCTGGAAATGACCATAAAAGAAACTATCGGTAAGTAAAACTTTAAATTCAGTAAGGAATGAATCAGTAGAGAGTATAATTTAAGCCCATTCTTTTTGCACTTGTTGTAAGTGCTTTAAGTTATTAAACTGGAGAATAAATGATCCTTGCCCAAGAATGTTCTCTAATGGGAACTTTTGCTCAGGGAGAGGGTACATTTGCTCACTGGTGGGCTGGATGTCTCATTAAGCATCTTGAAATGATTATATAAAATTATATTTTATCAAAATTAATTTGGAGTGAGGGTTCTTTTGCTCACTGGTGGGCTGGATGTCTCATTAAGCATCTTGAAATGATTATATAAAATTATATTTTATCAAAATTAATTTGGAGTGAGGGTTCTTACTGAAATTGGAATATAAATGTTAACTCTTGACTAATGTGTATTCTTATGTATATGTGTTCATTTTTATTTATTAGATAAGGCCCAGGAGGTAGAGGCTGAACTTTTGGAAAGCCATCAAGAAGAGACAAATCAGTTACATAAGAAAATTGCAGAGAAAGATGACGATCTAAAAAGAACAGCCAGAAGATATGAAGAAATCCTTGATGTACCTTATTTTCTCTCTCTCTTTTAATTTTGAAATTTAGCTGTAATAGATTTAATGATAGTGCTGAAGATTTCCCATTTTTCTAATATAAAGGATTTTCTGGAGGCTTAATATTATATAATAATATATTAGTACTTTTATGGTATATGCAGATTTATAAAGTCTGATTGATTTCTGCCAGGATTGTAGTTTCCTGATCAGATTCTGCTAACCAGGCAGTACAGTCCACTTGCTGGTATTAAGGCAACAATGAGTTACTGAGGGGAAGAATAGATTCTCTTTCCCCTCTTCCTCATAGATTCATACTGAACTGTGAGAGAACCAGACTAAGAATTGAGAGCTTGTGCTTGTGTGAAGTCTAGGTAATGGGATAGTTAGTGTGTGTCTGAGTGTGACTGCTTAACTTAGCTGGTATCTTTCTGGGTGGGCCAGTTAACTTTACTCCATCCCTACCGAATTTGTCGGGTTTTTATTGGTCTCAAGGGAGAAAAGAGATGGGGAACGAAATGGAATGCATCAACCAAATCTTTTATATTTAGTAGAAGATTAGTTCAAAGTACTTATTCTACTAATGCCACATTGTCATTAGTATGATATGCTACTACCACACTGCCATTAGTAGAGTAGGATAAGCTGTAAAGATATACTGTGAAGATAAACGATGAATGCTAGTGAGTACTTTGGACTCTAAGAACATTTTCAAAAGTAAAACAATGTAATTATTCTTGCTTGGGTTACAGATTCTTTAGTTATTCCAAGCCTTATTTCATTGTATGCCAAGAAACATTTGAGGATTAAGAATGCATGAATCAGAGAATCATGCCTCAGCTGACTATGTTAGCAATAGAAGTCTGAGCCAGGAACAGATTCTAATAAAAATTATTTTAAATGTAATTGAAATGGCTAAAAATTCCAGGATATGACACACATCTATAAATGCTACCTTTTGTAATTTTTGAGCTTTAAATCTCATGAAAATATTTAAATAATTTTGCATTTTCTTATACTTCCATAGAGTATACATGTGCTGAGTTTTAAAAAATACTATTACTTCTTGAATGCCTAGAGAATGTTGGAATTGAAAGATACACGAAATTTCGTTTAGTTCTGTCTTCTGAGTTTTTTTTTTTTTTTTTTTGTGACAGAATGAAAAGCAAGTTCAGCATAGTGAAGTGATTTCTCTAAAACTGTATAGTGAGTGGTTGAGCAGTGATTCTTCGTTATCTTCATATACTTAATTTAAAAAAAGACTTCTCCCTAAGAAAGGAACTTGGAGAAGGCAAGATATTTATCGTGGATAATCAAGTCAGGGGGGTTGATTTTCAGGGCTGTGCCAGAGCTCTAGAGTTCCTTTTGGTAACCCACTTCTCTATCTCTGGCTGTGTAGGGTAGCAGATAGTAGATTTTTCAAGGGTCATGACAAACCTCTGTATGTGGAGGAGTGAGGGAAAAGGGAGACAGGTAACCATAGGCCCTCTGGCATGGTTCCTCCTTCATAATCTACTGTGTATTAGGGAAACTAAGAATATTGTCCACCAAGCTTCAGGCTTGGAGTAGTAGAGCAAGTGGGTAGGAAGTGGAGGGTAGACAAGGGAATGGCATGGACTCTTCCCCAAGCCACTTGTGCCTTGGACCAGCACTGTCTGTTAGAAATATATATATTTTTTTCTTTTTGTTTATTTAACTAACCGGTTCATGGCCTGTTATGTCTGTTAGAAATATAATGCAAGAAACATATGTGAGCCACATTGTAATTTAAAGTTTTCTAGTAACCCCATTGAAAATAAAAAGAAAACAGGTGAACTTTATTAGTAATAGATGTTAACTAACCCAATAAAACCAAGAGTATTATTTCAACATGTAGTCAATATAAAAGTGATTAAT